TTTCTTGAGAGCTCTTTTGCAATCATATGACATCATGGCTAGAAACATTATTAAAATAAATAAAGAGCCTTTGCAATGGTAGTTTTTTTTTTTCTTTTTATCGCCAACTTGATCATATCTTTTGTTCCATTGTTTTTAGTTTATTTGTAATGGATATGGAGTTACGTTACTGTTATAATGGAAGGACATAATGGTTGTGGTCCAAGTACTGTACCTACAGTAGTATTTTATAAATGTTTCTTCTGGCAAAAGAATTAATTAGGTATATATGCTAGGAACAGTTAAAGCAATATTTAAACTCTTAGGGTATTGAGTTGTATTTTCTTATGTTTATATTCATTTGTAAACCCCAAATCATACAGGGAGAGAGGGGGGACTTGTAAGCAATGGTCCCTCTTTCATGAGCTTGTAATATCCATTCAGTTCAGTAGCTGTCAACAGTGTTTGACTGAAAGAGAGTGGATAGAGAGGAAAAGAAGGAGGAACTTGTAAATAAGAAAGTGCTATCATGTATCAAATAATTATCTTAATTTTATATTAATAGACAATAAAATTAGTAATTTATTTTAAAAATATAAAATGTTTTTTAATCTTTAAAATACTAAATAAATTACAATTTTTAATTTAAATACTAAAAAACAAGAAGGCTAACATGTATTAGATAAATTATAACTATTAATTTTTTAAAATATATATATATATATATAATATTTTTCCAAGCTGATATGTATCATAACAAATATTAAAATAATTTTTTTATGTTTAGTTTCATTTGCAAAGATGAGGAGAGGTATAAAATTTTTTCTCATCTAACTTTGACTTTTATCTAAAAGTGAAAAAAAAAAAAAAAAAGGAAAGATAAATATTTTAAAAAATATTTTTTTTAGTTCTAATGACTCTTGCGTAAACGTTTAATTATGTTACCCTTCTAGTGCACGCCCTAAATTATTTATAAATGAACGTACCAACTTAGTATTTAAAGGTTAAAATTATAGAATAAATATTCACCTTACAAAGAATGAAATATTTTATGAAATCGTATTAATATCTCAATCATTGAAGGTAGTGTATACTATTTTATATAAAATTATTCTAATATCCAGATTAAATAAAAAGTGAGAATTGTATGAATTTATTTAAATTTCATATAATATGAGCAGCGAGAAGATGTTGAACGTGAATATTCTCCCCCCAATAATTTCTTAAAATAGATACGTGTAACATTTGTAGCATCTTTCTAGACAAGTGTCACATGTTTTCACTCAATATTTGTCTTATTTTTAGAGACATTCTTCCCAAGTTCAGAAGTGTGATCACTTGTGTTGCTTAATTCACGTAGATCTCAAAAATGAGTTTCTAAAATCTCGATCCAGCAGAAAAATAAATTAGTTCTTATATTTTAAATTCTAAAAATGTTTGTTAATCTAAGTTTTTGAAACCAAATTTAAGCATTTAAATGCAATATCTTTTTATTAAAAAATTATATTTATTATATTAAAATTATAAAAATTTAATAATTTTTTAATAAAATTTTGACAAAATTAACACTTTCTTTATATAATTTTTAAGTAAATTTTGATATTATCCTCTAACTTTTTACTTTTTTTTTATAAGAATATTTTAAATAAGTACTTTTATATTAGAAACTTAACTCCATTAAAAATTCTTGTGCCACATATTGTATTATACGAATTCATTTTTTTTGTCAAAATTTATCTTTATTTTCATTTTTTTTTCTCATTTCTTTTTTTGTCTTCAGCACTAGATAAAATAAGTATCTAGATCAAATTTTCAAAAAAATTCACAAAAAAGGGTTATCATATCTCTATTAGTTTTATCCATTTTATACAGACTTAGATTAAAAAGGAGTATTATAAAACAAGAAAGAGACTAAGTTTAACTAAAAGCTCGGAGACTTGTCATATTTCTTCCACAGCTTAGTCAAGTCTTCCTAAATGGCTTGAAGATTAGCATCAAAGGAGAAGTGGCTTGTACTTTTTTAGGATCCTTGGTGTCAAAAGTTGAAAAAGTTGAGCTTAACAAAATACTTCGGAGCTTGCTATCAATTTTGTTCTAAATTAACTTTTTTTCTACATCATCACATGTTCTCAGAAGAAAAGAAAGAAGTGGAGGAGACACAATTAAAAAATAAAATGACTATTTAAAAATAATATAATTATATTTTAAAATAATTTATTAATTATTATTATTATTTTATTATTCTAATTTAATTATTATTACTAATATTTATAATTATATATCACGTTTATGAGATTATTTTCATTATTATTTATATTTTCAGTTATATATAATATTTATGTGAGCAATTACACAAGTTAAATTATTTATATATTTTGAGAAAATTGAATAAAAGAGGATTGACTTTTTTAAATATAATTTTCCTAGTTTACAAGTTTCAGATCTTATTAATTTTTGAGAGCTTTGTTTTTTCAGACAAAAAAAGTCTGTTATATCTTAAAGAATTTTTAACTACACTAAAATAATTTTTAAAGACAATATTCTACCTTAAAACTAAATTATTGATCAGTTACTTTGAAACAATTTTGATAACAATGATAAATAGTGAATTGAATTTTTAATAAAATTAGCCTTTAAACCAAAAGAAAATTATTCAAAACTTTTTTATAAATTAGATAAAATTGAAACTTACCTTAACTAAACCATTCCTTGTGCCTTAGATATATCACATTATTTTCTTAGAATATAATAAAAAATATATTAAATGAAATAAAATACTGAAAAATATACAAAAGCATTTTAAAAGACATATATATAAAACTTTTAATTTGTTATTAAATATGATATAAATTAATTCATATAAATTTAAAATATTACTTTGTTGTATTAAATTTGAAGATAATATATTATATAAAATCAATAAATATATTTATATTATTACTGATTTAATCACAGTTAAACTAATAAATTAGCATCTTTACTAGATAATTATTAATCAAATTTAAAAACTGAAAATAATAATAAAGTAAATATCAATTCTTAAAATTAGTTTTAAATGTATAAAGTATAAAATTTATTAAAATATATTTTTTTACATTTTTAACGTACAAAATATTTTTTTAAAAATATTATTTTTATATTTAAATTTTAAAAATTTAAACTTTGTTAAGGATATAAATAAAAACTTTATAAATAATTTTTATTTTAAAATTAATTGAAAACATATTATAAACTATAAAAAATATTGTTACATTTTTAATAAAAAAACTGTTTTTAATTATTTAAAACTTAGATTGAATTTAATTTATAGTTAAAATAAGTACTTCTTTTGGTCTTAAATACAAGATTCATTTAGAGAGTTTGTCATAATATTTTTTTATGACATACTATACACATTATTGACTATAATAATTATTTTTTTACATGAATATCATTCGTAGAGACATAATAATTCTTTATATTAAAATAGTAAAATAATAGATTCAACAATTTTAAATAAATATTAATCAACATCCTAAAAATAAGAACACTCATTAAGAATTTAAATGTATATAATTTTAAAGTTTTAAATACTATTTTTTTATTTGATTCTTATAAAAAAATAAATTTATTTGTAAATAAAAAATAATTTTAGAATAATTTCATATATATATATATATATATATATATATATATATTAGGAATAATTTTTAAATATAAAATTTAAAACATATATATATATATAATGTTTTAAAAAAAATTACCGAAATATGAAATTTAAAAATTGATATAGGTAATGATACAACAACGAAAAGTTACTAAGTTTTAAAAATATTTTTCAAAAAAAATATTAAAAAATTATAAAAAATAAAAAATTATATATGAAAATTTTAAAAAAATAATTTAAAAATAAAAAACTACCAATTTTGTAATTTTTTCCAAAATATCATATTTTTATAATTTTTCATTTTTTCCCGTATAAAAAAAGTGACCTTATATATTACTTTGATCCATGTACATAATATAATTTTCATTGTGATTCTTATCTATAACACAATTTTTATTTCAACTTTTGTATGAAAAAAAATTATAAGAATAAAAAAAAGTGTGTTTCACAAAGGGATGAAATGAAAATTTAAAAAAGCCACTGTCAAATAATTGAAACATGTTATAATAATTCATAAATAAACTATAAAAAATAATTTAATAACTTTAAGCAATATCATTATAGTTTAATGTTATTATGAAGATATTATTATGAGTAATAACGTAATACAAGAATTATAAAAAAATATGTTTTTTATAAAAATTAAAATATTATTAATGTATTTTCATCCGTAATGTTTAATATAATTAAAAAAATAATATAATTTTTTGTCTTAATTTCTTAATTATATCATTAACTCATGATTTCAAGAATAATTTTAAAAAAATATTTAAACGGTTGATAAATTTAATATTATTATATTATAATTAAAAAATTCAATTGAAAATTTTCAATATTTAATTTGTTCACGGTATCCATGTGTCAAATGGTAAGTACAAGTAATAAAGGATTAACATGGAAGTTTCATTGCCATTCATTGCGATGGCTGTGGCGACGTTATTGCCCTCGTTAGAGCTGCAATGGGAAATGAAGAGGCTGATGAGGCTTTAATGACTGCACTAAAGGATGGAGTGGTATGCTACCCCCAAAGCCCTGACACAAAGCAACTTAACAAGTTTAATAATAAAATAATGCACAACACATAAAACACACATCAAAAGTTTGATTTTGTTTGGGAGGCTCAAATTCATCTTTTTCTTTTCTTTCAAACAATCTTCTTCTTCTTTTCTTTCAAACCTATTATTATTTTCACGCGTTTTAAGCTAGACTTTGGTTCCACGTATCTGCTGTGACCAGAACCCACTTCTTGCATGCTTCCTTGTTTCAAGAAGATTTATCATAACTTTGTTGTAGTTTAGTGTGTTAACAGACTCGTGTACAAGACATTGTCTACTCACTGAAGTTTTGTTGTAACTGATCAGCGATAATTGACACCATGAAAGTTTCTGGCTTTTGTGTTTTGCTCTTGGTTGCAGGGACAGCTTTGACCTTCTTTAACTTGTTGAGTCCCACCGGTGCTTCCTGGTTTCCTGGTAAATATTTTCTTTTTTCATTATTATTGATATTATTTTTTGTAATCTTTGTTACATTTGAGAAAATTAGATCCATGATGTTATCATCATTAATTATATAAGAACAAATTCATTGGTTTAAATATATGTTTTGAATTTTGTTTTTTCTCAGATTTTTTATTTATTTATATTTACTTCATCTTTGAAAGCGGCAAGAGCATGCATGCATTGGTAATTCGCAAGTGATCGTTTCAAATCTACGTTTGTTTGGACGAGGAGAAAGTATAAAAGACAAAAAAAAAATAGATAAACTACTAATAATCTTTTTTTCTTTCTTCGTTTTCTTTTTTCTCTACCAAAGCCTTGGTCAATTTTTTTTTTTTCATTTTGTTTGCTCTGATCTTATAAATAGTTCATGTTCTACTTCTGGTAGTAAACACTAAGTTGGGACTTGAAACCCATACCTAATACAGTTCGCATTTTTATATACGCTGTGTATATCATGCATTCGATAGCTACACTAATTGGTTGAGTTATTAGTGGGATTACTCAATAAATTAGAAGACAACCTTCATGAATAGAAGTTGTATCTATCACCATTCATACTAGTTGGTAAAAGAGACCAAGAGTTCCTCTCAATTTCGTGTCCAAATTTGATATTATGAGTGGTATAGTTCAATCAAAATATTGCATGCATTAATTAAATTTCTGGCTTAGCCGCATCTTATCGTTTCAAATGTCTTTGACTAAACGAGAGTAGATTTAATTCTTAACAATGAGAAACTTTCATGTATTTAATCCACTCTACTTTTTTTAATTACCAGATTTGGTTGCTACCAACTGTGGTGACAAAACAACGCTAATTCCAGTAAGCAGGAAACTGAAGGCATGTCTGCTTTTAATAATCCTTCTACTTTAGCTATGACATTCGACCAACCAAATTATTACTAGATGGAAATTTACTTCGGTTAAACTGTATCTTATAAGTGTTCTGCTCTATGAAATTTCAGGAAAATGGCAGTAGTATTAGAAGCAATATTAAGAAGAAGGGTAATATAGGTGAAGTGACTCTGAATGATTACAATCCCATTGATCCAGTACCAAGTTCATCAAAGGCTGCTGTGAATCCAGGCCCTATTGAGCATGGAACTCCTACTAATCCATATGTTATTCCAAAACCTCCTCCTCCTAGTCATCCCAGGCCTGGAGATTATAATTAATCTGCTGTTTCTCTTCAAGCATGCCAGTGACTATGCTCAAAAGAGAATGCTATTCACACACTCTTATGAACTCTCTTTTTAACGTATTTTTCTATTATATTGGGCCAAAAAAGATTGTTCATAAGTGTGTTTGGGTAGCATTTTTTTTAAAATGCTCGAATGAAGACTCTGAACTTTAGTTTACACGTTGTTTAGTCAGCTTTTTGCACTTTGTCATGCTCATATTCTGTATGCCAGGCAATGTAATCCTTGTTTTTTTCATGTGCTAGTTGTGAAGAAAAAAATGTGCCTTTTGGCATACTATGTGGTGGCCAATGTACGTACTTAAAAGGACCATGCGGATCCCTATGTATGCTTGTTAAGTTAGTTTTATAAGTGTGTGTGCAACTTCAGCAATGATTATCTTTTTCTTTTCTTTTGATCCTTCTTTCTTAAGGTATGGATTTAATTTAATTTTAATTGTTGATCACTATTATTACAAATGAAACCGTATATTCTCAAATTGAATGGTACTGTTTACTTCTCATTGAAATTGGGGTAGATGGTCCCAAAAGTAATGCATGGAAGCATATAGGAGTATACTTTAAAAACTGGCGAATCTGGTATAGCTACCCATCTTTGATGACACTACTTTTATATGGAACTCTGTCACCAGGGTCTGGTTGCTTTATTTTGTTGCACCAGAATATCGAGTAGACAACGAAGGCTTTAAGTGATTCTGCTGAACATAAAATGATTTTGGGTTTCCGCATAGCAGCTTTAGTTTTTACATCAGTGCTTAGCATATATGGTATCAAAACTTGTTCTTCAACTGAATCATCATATACCAGCCAATCCTCTGTGCCTCTAGCAAAAAATTCTAATTCTACTCAATTTTTTTTATCAGATGTCTACCACATCGTGTACGGAAGTTCAATAAAGTTTAAGGGAATGGTTATTGCAGAAGTAGTCCAATATCTTCTTACTAATCTTTCAAATATTAATGACAATTATCAACGTCTTAAGACTTAAGAGTAGTCATTAAAGAATGTAATAATGTATTCTTTTTGTGAATTTTAATGTGATAAAATTTAGATGCAACTTTTTAAGTACTATTTATACTACTTTTTAATCAAAATTGGAAAATGGTGCAAAAATATTTAAAGAATTTTACTTATTTTTACTAACATTGCCGCTGTCACATCGCTTATAAGTTTCAATGAAAAAGCTTATATGATAAGCTTCAAATAGCTGTAAATAAATCAAATGCCTTACGTGTAATTATAAGGATAATAATTTCCTAATAGGATTCTCAGTGATTAAATGCTTGTTGCTGTTGAAGATAACCACCACCACCAATCCATTGAAGTCCAAAATTGACTAAGAAAAAATAGCAAACTTGGGCTAGATTTGTTGAGTCACTTAAAATTTAAGATAAAATTATGGCCGCTCATATAGTTTGATCACCGAAAAAATTCATCAACGAGGATTACTACTATTAGAAGTAAAGAGGTCCTTCAATCCACGTCCCACCAATGGTGCCTTTTTTCTTTTCTCATTCGCTTTTCTTGACTCCCTAATAATACCGCTCAGGTCTTGGTGACTTGGTCTTCTAAAGATGTAACAGCTGTAGGGTGTTGAGCTCAAATGCGGAATAACTTGGACGTGTAAATTAAAATTCTGACGTAAACTGGCGAGCAATAATTCAGACCTAATAAATAGATCTAGCAGCGCAGCGGTGTAACTTGTAAAGTGTGCACTGAAATACTTCCCAGGAAAGAGAGGTGGATCACAACGGATCACTTAAATACCAGGTCTTTCCTTAGCCAGAATCTTTCCAGTTACAACACTAATACAAATACACACTTCTCCAGCAATCCAACAATCAGCCACGGAAGGATAACAAAAATAATTCTTTTCTGATGTGGAAGATCAGACTAAACTGCAACCACAGAGCATACTAAGAATTATTTTTAACTGAATAAAATAAGCAGATAAAGAACACCACTATTTAACGTGGAAAAACCTCCAATGTGGAGGAAAAACCACGGGACAAACTCCGAAAAATATTCCACTATATCTCAGGATATTTACAATATCCTTTCAACACTCTATCACACAAGAGGTGTAAAATATAGTGTACACAGTGAGACCCACTCCTATTCAAATATTACAAATTTTGTAATACCAAGAAGAAATAGAGATGATACCCACCCCAGTGTATTTTTCTCACACTCTTAGGATTTACTCAACACTCTATTTTTTTTTTTCTCTCACAAACACTCACAATGCTTGATGAAATCTTGTGTGTGTTGCTGCTTGTGCTTCCTTCAATTTCATTTCACGGCTATTTATAGCCAAATAAAGTTACTATTCATTTAATAAAATATTATTAATTGTTTATGAAGTCAAAAAAGGGGGCACCGAAATTGAAAATGTGCTGGACCTCACAATTCTCCCCCTCCAGCACAAAGGTGCACTCTTGGAATCTTCACATGCGATCTATGCCAATCAGCTTGGCACACTGTTGATGTTTTTCTCGTGCAACAACTTTCGTCATCATATCAGCAGGATTTTTATCCGTATGAATCTTATCTACCTTGAATTCTTGTTCTTCCACTGCCTGACGCAGCCAATGATATCTGATATCAATGTGCTTCGTACGAGAGTGATACATCGCATTCTTACTTAAATCCAATGCGCTTTGGCTATCACAATGGATAACGTACCTTTTCTGCTCAATTCCCAGTTGTTGAAGAAACCTCTTCAACCAAAGCATTTCCTTTCCTGCTTCAGTCATGGCAACATACTCAGCTTCAGTAGTTGACAAGGCCACACATTTCTGCAATTTGGATTGCCAAGATATAGCTCCCCCTGCAAAGGTAAACACAAGTCCTGAAGTAGATTTTCTACTATCCAGGTCACCTGCCATATCTGCATCTGTGTATCCTTCAAGAACTGGGTTAGGTATTCCAAAGCTCAAGCACATATTAGAACTACCTTTCAGATATCTCAAGATCCACTTCACTGCTTCCCAATGCTCTTTTCCAGGATTGGAAAGATACCTGCTAACAACTCCGACCGCATGAGCTATATCCGGCCTCGTACAAACCATGGCATACATCAAACTCCCGACTGCTGAGGAGTATGGAATACCCGCCATAGCTTCTTTTTCTTCTTGACTTGTGGGACAACTTCTTTTGCTGAGTTTGAAGTGATTTGCCAACGGTGTACTAACTGGTTTAGCCGTCTTCATGTTGAATCTGTCCAGAATCCGATTCACATACCGTTCCTGCGATAACCACAACCTTCTGGATTTTCGGTCTCGCATGATCTGCATGCCCAAAATTTGTTTTGCAGGGCCCAGATCTTTCATATCAAAAAACTTTGACAATTCTTTCTTCAAATCACCAATCAGCTTCACATCCTGTCCCACTATCAACATATCATCTACATACAACAGAAGGATAATGAATTTATCACCTGGACATGTCTTGACAAATACACAATGATCTGCATCAGTCTTGGCATATCCATAACTCGTCATGAACGAGTCAAATTTCTTATACCACTGTCTTGGAGCCTGTTTCAATCCATACAAGCTCTTCTTCAATCTGCAAACCATGTGTTTCTTTCCAGTTTCCTCAAAACCTTCTGGTTGCTCCATGTAGATTTCTTCATCAAGGTCTCCATGAAGAAACGCAGTCTTCACATCTAGTTGTTCAAGCTCCAGATCCAAGCTAGCTACCAATCCGAGTATAACTCGAATAGAGCTCATCTTCACAACTGGAGAGAAAATTTCATCAAAATCTATTCCTCGCTTTTGTCCAAAACCTTTTACAACTAAGCGAGCCTTGTACTTCAACAGCTTGTCACCATCTTTCTTAAGCTTGAACACCCACTTATTTTTCAAGGCTTTTCTGCCTTTAGGGAGCTTGACTAACTCATAAGTATCATTATTCACCAGAGAATCCATTTCTTCTTGCATGGCTTTCATCCACTGGGATTTATCCTTATGAGTCTGAACTTCTTCAAAGTTTTCTGGCTCCCCCTCTTCAGTGATGGTAATATACGTCGAACTAGGGTACTTTGTAGATGGCTGGTGTGGTCTTCTTGATTTCCGAGGCTGAGGTGGAGCTTCTGGGTTTTCTTGCTCAACACCTTCATCATCACCATCTTCTATTGCTGGCTCATTATCAACCCTAAGTTCTTCATCACACTCTCCCCCTACTGTGGCATTTTTAGGAGGAACAACTGGTGTAAGATCAACCTTACCACCTGGTTCTCTGATTTTTGGTGAAGCAGAATCCGACATAGTTTCTTGCTCATGGAACACTACATCTCTGCTTCTAATAACTTTCCTATTTTCTGGATCCCATAACCTGTAGCCAAATTCCTCATCTCCATAGCCCAGAAATATGCAAGGAATGGCTCTATCATCAAGTTTTTGTCTCTGTTCCTTATTCACATGAGCAAAAGCTTTGCATCCAAACACTTTCAAATGAGAGTATTTAACATCATGTCCGGACCATACTCTCTCAGGGATATCAAAGCCCAAAGGAACAGATGGAGATCGATTAATCAGGTAGCTTGCCGTTAGAACAGCTTCACCCCAGAATGGCTTAGGCAGTTTTGCCATTCTTAACATGCATCTTACTTTCTCCATAATGGTTCTGTTGATTCGTTCGGCCACACCATTATGTTGTGGGGTTCCAGGTACCGTCTTCTCATGCCTGATGCCATGCTCAGCACAATAATTCTTGAATTCATGGGAAGTATATTCACCCCCATTATCCGTGCGAAGACACTTCAAAGGTTTACCAGCCTGTCTCTCTACCATTGCATGAAACCTTTTAAAGCATTGAAAAACTTGGTCCTTCGTTCTTAAGAAGTACACCCACAATTTTCGTGAAGCATCATCGATAAACGTCACGTAATATCTGCTACCACCAAGACTCTCCACTTCCATGGGTCCACATACATCAGAATGAACCATCTCCAAAATATTCTCTTTCAGCTTT